GGCGGAAGTTATCGTAAGTTCCTTCTTAAAGATTTCTCTGAAATTTGGGTCAAATATCTTGGAGGTTTTCTCCCAATCTATAAAGAGTTATGGGTCCCACAAACTATCTAATCGAAGGTCTACGAGTCTAGTTTCCAACGCATTAAACCGTTCATTCATACGACTTCAGAATAGAGAGATATTCGCATTTTCGTGGGACTGCGCAAGCAGGCACGTGAGGTGGGGCCCTAGGTCGGTGGAAAATTGTATATATCTTCTTCTTCGAGTTTTTTCTTCATTTTAAGCTAAATATACAGAGAAAACACAGAAACCCATTTTTAGGATCAAGTGAAATATAGATTTTCTTGACGTAAGTCCTTGACGAAAGTTGTTCTACGCGTTGGGCTCAACATCGTGGTATAATTTGTTTTATCGATTGTGTAGCATATCACATTTTAGTGATGGGACAGCAGGGGTTTGAATATATTTGAAGGTTTTGAGGTGAATTACGAACCTAAGATCGAGGTAAGACCCTTTTTTCATCTACTCTAGCTTTTATAAGCAGCAAATAGCAATTTGCGACGGAAATACATATCTTTTATTGTATTGTCATGGTATCTTTTATTTTGTGTGTTGATTATGGTCCTACCTTGTTGTAGTATCGAGGGAGTTATGAGTTAAAGTCTTTAGGCCACGTGAATTTAGTGAAAAAAGTATGTTAAGGCTATTCTCTTCCTATGGCATGTTTCCTTAAAGCTTAGGAGCAATGTAATTGAGTTGTTATCGTTGCTATACTTATAGCTATTATTGTTGATTATTGGCTGCTCGAGTGCGTATAATCCTCTCTTATCGAGATTCTTATTCAGTAGTAACATTCCTATGTTGGACACGACTTAGAGGCTATTTGTATAGGTTGCCTATAACTAAATTGCTCACTTTTAGCTGTTGGATTGTTATTGTTGCCTTTGGGCTATTGTTGTTAGCTGCAGGAATGTGATCTATGCCTAGCAGGGTTGTGTTCTGCCTACAGGGCTATATGGATGCCTAAAAGGACTATGAGTTGCCTACGGGGCTATATTGATGCCTAGAAGGGCTATGAGTTGCCTACAGGGATATATATTGACGCTTGAGAAGGTTATGTGCTTCCTACAGGGCCATGTTGTTGCCTAAGAGGGCTATGAGTTGTCTATAAGATATGTTGATGCCTAAGAGGGCTATGTGACTGCCTGCGGGGCTAGGGGACTACCGATAGGGGTATACAGGCTGATTGGCACCTTCCGGGCTTATGGGGGCCTGAGTAGGTGGTCTTGTGTGCTGTTTGTACCTACCGAGCTTATGGGGGCTTGGTTAGGTTGTTGTTTTATTATTTTTGATAAATTTAGATTTAGAAGCAGGTTAGTACAATTATCTTATCCTTAATTTATTTATCAGATTATTCCAGTATATCAGGATACCTCATCATAGTCTATTGCCTTTCATACTCTGTACATTATTTTGTACTGACGCCCCATTGCCTTGGGGGCGCTGCATTCATGCATGCAGGTCCTGACAGATGACCGAGTAGACCTCCATATCAGCATGATTGACTTTTATCCGATTGGTCAGCCCCTTTCCTCCAGAGCTGCCAGAGTTGGGAGGTTTGTTACCTTTTGTTGTATATATTCTCATGGGTAGGCTGGGGCCCTGTCCCACCAATCTTTACTACTCTTAGAGGCTTGCAGACTAGTGTGTGGGGTTTATAGCTACGTTATGGCCATGCTGGCCTATGTTGTTGGTTTGCTAAAGCTTGTGAGTTGTTTGATGTATTGTACTGATATTTACCTGTTTTTAGTTTTGGTATAGATATCATGGTGGCCTCGACGGCCCAATCAAGACTTCTGTGCTAGTTGGATATTTCTTTATATGAACTTTTGGGAGTAGCTGGTTCTTTTGTAGATCTGTTGACAGGGGCCTTGCCGGCCGAGGGCTTAGTTTTAAGCCGAGATATACTTATTTGTTTTCTTAATTGCATGTGACTGCCATGCGCTAGTAGCAAATGGTTCAGCAGGGTCGGCTCGGGCCTGAGTTTTGGCTTTAGGAGTCAGTTGCACCCTTTGAGTTTGGGGCGTGACACTTTATCTCCCACTTGATATTCAATGTCACGCTTTTAAGATCAGCGTACGACTTTTGTTGATCCGAAGAAATCTTTAGACGATCCTTGATAATTTTTACCTTGTCCTCTATTTGTTGCACAATTTCAGGACCAACAAGCTTTCTTTCACCAACTTCACTCCAACAAAAAGGGGTCTGGCATTTCCTTTTGTATAGAGCTTCATAGGGAGGCATTCCAATACTCGATTGGTAGCTATTATTATAAGCAAATTCTATCAAAGCCAAGTGTTTGTCCCAACTACCCTCAAACTCCATAATACAAGCTCGAAGCATATCCTCCAAAATTTGTATCACTCTCTCCGACTGGCCGTTTGTTTGAGGATGGAATGAAGTGCTAAATTTCATCTTAGTACCCAAAGCTTCCTGCAAGCTACCCCAAAATCTAAATGTAAACCTTGGGTCTTGGTCAGATACAATAGACATAGGGATACCATGTAGTCTTATAATCTCACTAATGTACAATTCGGCTAAACGCTCAAGTGAGTAATCTATCCTGATTGCTAAGAAGTGAGCACTCTTGGTTAACCTATCCACAATCACCCATATTGCATCATGATTTCTTTGAGTATGAGGAAGTCCAGAAACAAAGTCCATAGTTATTCTCTCCCATTTCCATTCCGGCATCGACCAGGGCTGTAGTAAACCAACTGGGACTTGATGTTCTGCCTTTACTTGTTGACAAACCAAACATTTGGAAATTAACTCCACATTGTCTCTCTTCATACCATTCCACCAATAATGTTCCTTGATGGTCTAGTATATCTTTGTACCTCCAGGATGCATTGCATAGGGTGAAGTATGTGCTTCATTCAGTTTTTTTCTCCTCAAGTTGTCATCATTAGAGACGCAAAACTTGTTCTAATAAAATAAGACACCTTTCTCTGTTAATGTAACATCCAGCTTTTCCCCATTTTGAACTTCTCTGGTCAATTTTACAAGTTTCTCATCTATCTTTTGTGATTCTTTCACCTGTTCAAGTAATATTGGCTTTACTTGCAAATTAGCAATAACTGAACCATTTGAATCAGGTGTAAAACAAACATTCATGGATCTTAACTCAAGGAGCAAGGGTAAATGACTCAAAGAAATGCTTGCAAAGGATTTTTGACTTAAGGCATCTGCAACCACATTGGTTTTACCTGGATGATAATCAATCGTGCAGTCATAATCCTTGATGAGTTCAAGCCATCTACGTTGTCGAAGGTTTAGCTCCTTCTGAGTACCCAAGTACTTTAAGCTCTTGTGATCAGTGAATATATGACATTTCTCTCCATACAAATAATGCCGCCATATTTTTAAAGCAAACACTACATCAGCAAGTTCAAGATCACGGGTAGGATAATTCAATTCATGCGGTTTTAATTTCAGAGAGGCATAAGAAATAGCCTTCCCTTCTTGCATCAAAACGCATCCTAGACTATTGTGAGAAGCATCATTGTATACTACGTACTCTTTCCCTTCAATTGGTTTCAAAGCTCTCTTGGTATTTGTCATCCCAAATAAACTTTACTTCCTTCTGCAAGAGCTTAGTCAAGGGGTAGGCGATAATGGAAAAGCCTTTCACAAATCTTCTGTAGTATCCTGCTAAGCCTAAGAAACTTCTTACCTCGGTTGGACTTTTGGGAGGTCTCCATTCAACAACTGCTTGTATCTTACTAGGATCCACTTTCACGCCTTTGGCTGATTCAACATGTCCAAGAAACGTCACTTCATCAAGCCAAAATTTACACTTGGAAAGTTTAGCATAAAGTTCCTTCTCCTTCAAAATTTCCAAAATAATCCGGAGGTGTTTATCATGGTCTTCACTACTTCTAGAAAATATTAAAATATCATCTATAAAAACAACCACAAACTGATCTAGATAAGGCTTGAATACTCGATTCATTAGATCCATGAATACCGCAGGAGAATTTGTCAATCCGAATGGCATCACCAAAAATTCATAATGACCATACCGAGTTCTAAAAGCAGTTTTAGGAATATCTTTCTCTCTAACACGCAGTTGGTGATATCCAGAGCTTAAATCAATCTTTGAGAATACTTTAGCACCCTTCAGTTGGTCAAACAAATCATCGATCCTCGGTAGTGGATATCTATTCTTGATTGTTATTCTATTCAATTGTCTATAGTCAATAAAAAGCCTAAGAGTGCCATCTTTCTTCTTTACGAATAAAACAGGGGCTCCCCAAGGAGAAACACTAGGTCGAATAAAACCTTTCTCAGGAAGTTCTTGCAATTGAGATTTCAATTCCCTTAATTTTACCGGAGCCATTCTATAAGGAGTGATAGAAATAGAGGTAGATCCAAAAATAAGCTCGATTGGAAATTCAACCTCTCTTTCCAGGGGCAATCCAGGAAGGTTTTCTGGGAAGACTTCTGGAAAACCACATACAATAGGTATGTCCTTGATACAAGGACTTTTCAACTGTGTATCAACTATGTGAGCAAAGTATGCCCTACAACCTTGACGCATCAGCTTTCTTGCCAAGGCCGCAGAAATAATACTAGATGTCAATGATCTTTCACCTTGTACAATAATGTGTGAAAATGTCGGATCTTTAAAGGTCACATGCTTTGACCTACAATCTACCACTGAATGATATTTATGAAGCAAATCTATCCCGATAATAACATCAAAATCCTTGAAGGGCATTTCAATCAAATCAGCAGGGAAGACTAGGTTTTGAATCACGAAGGGACAATCACGATAAATTCGATTACACACAACCTGATAACCCAAAGGACTTTCAACCAGCACATCATAATTAAGCCTCATAGATTTCACATTTTCAGGAAGAACAAATGATGAACAAATATATGAATGTGTAGAACCAGGATCAAACATTGTAAACACACATAAGCCAAATAAGTCATCCCTCTGCCTCATAGCATAAGCGCGTGCAGCAGTCCTTTTGTCCACTAGCTTGATTAGCTCCACTTGTACCTGCTGCTTGGGTGTTTTTAGGTCTTGCACCTCTATTAGTTTGAGGAGGATTAATAGAAGACTTATGAACTGAGCCTTCAGTTCTCAAGGAAAGAGCATTATTAAGATTAGGACATTCCTTCACTTTATGATCAAAGCTCCCATAATTGAAACATGCACCAGAAGCTCTCCTGCAAGTACCATAATGATTCTTTCCATATTGCGGACAAGTGGGAACACGAGGCTTACCTTGGCCATAAGTTGGAGTAGTGCTAGCTGTAGAAAAATATGATATGTTTTGCTTTTGCTGAGGTGGCCTGTTATCACTACTAGCCTTAGAGTTATCAAACCTTCCCCTTTTGATGGACCCCCAAAATCTGGTCTAGGCTTTCGGAATTTGTTTTTATTTCTACTAGCTTCTTCTTTATCAAGTCACTCCCAAGTAAAAGCAGCAGACACTAGCTTACAAAAGTTCTCATGTTGCAGGATCGCCACATTCTTTCTAATGGAATCATTTAAACCATCTTCAAATTTCCTGTACTTGTCTTTTTCTTCTTTAATAATACCTCCAGCATAACGAGAGAGTCTTAGAAACTCATGTTGGTACTCAGCAATAGACATACCTTGTTGCCTTAAATTCAAAAACTCATTTCTCTTTGTATCACAATAAGCAGGTGGGACATACTTCATACGAAATTCCCTAAGAAAATCATCCCAAGTAAGAACATGAGGTTTTACCTTGGCATTTGGAACACTTACCCACCAATCGTAAGCATCCCTTTGTAATAATGAAATAACATATTTAAATTTAGCAACATCTGAACACTTTAACTGCTCAAATACCCTCTCCATGCGCTCCAGCCATTGTTTAGCATCTGTGGGATCAACGGTGCCTTCAAACTCCACTCCACCCATTTTCCTCATTTTCTCAAAGTTAATCACGTTGGGATCATGCATCGCTTCAGCCATGTGGTGGAAGAATTCAGTCATTTGTTGAAAAAGAGGATTCATGGCTTGAGTACTACGACTCATGTGAGGATGTGAACTAGCTCTTACACCCTGATAGTTTCCCACTTAAGACCCACTAGTGTGGGGAACATATTGATTCGAGACAGGTTCTCCAACCTCTTTTAGTGCATGAGGTTGGGGAACAGAGGTACCCGAACCTTCACGAGCAGCTTCCATAGGTCGGCCAGAAGAAGAAGCCATAACTTAATTCCTTCAAAAGGGAAGATCACATTGCGTTAGGGACATGTACATGATGCATGTGCACTCTACATGCGATAAAAAAAATATTTTAAACCATGCAAGTGAACAAATAGTCCCAATAAAACCTTTTTCGAATGCGAACACTTGTAATGACCCTTACGGAATAATATAAGCCTATAATAATATAAGTCAATAACTCACGAGATTTTTGCATATATATTGTGTCCTCACACTAGTAAAAATGATATAAAAAGAATATTACCAACTTTCGAGTACCCAAACTAGGTGGTCCATGCTTCACGCAATCATTCAAAATTAGTGGTAAATTTAACATAGTACAAGACTTAGGCTTACACACTGCAAAAGAACAAAACATAGAGTCATACTTATATTACAACCCATGGTGACATGATCACATTAGTCCTCAAAATTTCATGTAAATATACACCACATAGATCATGTACAAGTCCCAAGGTTTATACAAAATATAGATGCCCATATGCAATTGTGATCTTCCATCATCAATGGCCAGCTTCATGCCTCCTCTCGATCATTCCCTATGATAGAAACCTATCTCTAAGCATATAGCTTAGTGGTCTAAAAACTATAGGTTCGGAGCCATCACATTCACAAAACTACCTTTCTCAAGTCATGGGCAGCATAATCGAACATAATAAATAAATCAAGTAAACAATATATCAAGAGTATCAAGTTCGATATTTAGAGGTCCAAATGTCAAGAATGCTCATAGTACCATTTTTCAAAAGATTCAATAACAAGGCTCGCCCAATATGTACATCATGTCTTCACACCAAGCACAATCAAGTATCAAGAAGAGCCGACGCCCTGTATCAAGAAGGGTCAAAGCCCAATAATCAAAAGAACCAAGAACCATATTAAAAATGGCTTTCTAGTTCGTACTTCAAATGGACAACTTTCAGTCTTAAGTCGAACTAAAAATTCAAAGTCAAGATGGAAAATGATCCGAATCAAGAGGCATGCCAATAGTGACAAAGTCACAGCCACAAGAAGGGCAAGGTCCCAACAAGAGTGCCAAGTGATCAAACAAAACGTACAAGTGGCGAGTTACAAAAGCGTCTTTAACGTCTTAAAGGATACCAACACAACAATGCAAAGTGACAAGAGGTAACCAAGGTACCAAGATCAACCTTCAGATATACTAGCAGTTAAAAGAGTACAAATACCAGTTTATACACAAACCTCAGTGCTTTAGCAAAGAAACAGTCCAACACAACTTCAAGAGTTCAAACCGTAGACCAACCAATGTATCAAGGTCCTCAACTGGTTCACGAGTATATACAACCTTTAAATATACAATTAAATAACTTCTTTAATCCCTAGCAGCTCAATAATATTAATGTAAAACAAGATTATCTTTACAAGTAAGATTAGCATGTAAAAACACAACTATGCTCCCAAAATAGTGATTCTAGCCAGCCTAGTACACCATGTCACAACTTAGATTTAAAAAGGAAAACGGTAAAACTAGACCTTATAGCCTGCATGAAAGATGTAGCTACATATCTTAAGGCTGCAAACAAACAAGAATCACCGCAAAATATATTTTGTACAACAAGATATAGTCTAAACACTAATAGTTGTTCATACAGGATTTGAAATTCCAAAATCTGGACAGAACTTGTCCTATGTTGCATTCAATATTTCGAATCCATAACAGCTAAATCAGAATTTTACATAAACATAAGAGTTGTAAGTATACGAATTAGCTTTCCAAATCATATTTATTCACTGTAAACTAAGTTCTAGAGAGAGAGATGCATAAAATACCAAACACTACCCAGCTCAGAAACAGATTTGTCACTTACCAACAAGAAGTGTGTGTTTTTGAATTACAGCCAAAAGGGCCAAGTTTTTATTTTGTAATTTTGAAGAACAACTGATTAAAGAAGGCTCTAAGGACATTTACAAACAATATTTAAACTATTCGTAGACAATGGAATATTATTAGTAAAAAAAAGATGGAGTTATGCAAAAGTCTCATACAGTTCTTAGGAGTCGAAATTGGAAGTGGAAAAATAAAATTACAACCTCATATAGCCAAAAAGGTCTTAGATATGCCAGATAAATTAGACAACACTAAAGAATTACAAAAATTTCTAGGAATCTTAAATTACGCAAAAAACTTCATAAAAGACCTAGGAAAGGTAGCAAGACCTCTATACTAATAAAAAAGGAGCACATGGGCAAAAGACTTTCAATACTGAAGAAATAAAATTAGTTAAGAAATTAAAACAAATGGTTAAAAATATACCAGACCTATCTCTCCCATTAGAAACAGACTATCCAATAATAGAAACAGATGGAAGTTTAGAAGGATGGGGAGCGGTATTAAAAACAAAAAAAAAAAGTATGAAGACAAAAAGGTTGAAAAAATCTGCGCTTATCAAAGCGGGAAATACTAAGAAAAAGGACATATGAACAGTATAAACGCAGATATATTAGCGGTAATTTATGGTCTAAACAGTTTTAAATTAGACATTATAAATAAAAAAGAAATCCTAGTATGAACTGATTGTGAAGTCATTGTAAAGTTTCACCAAAAAATAAATGGGCAAAGTAGTAGTAAAAGACGATGTCTAAATTTTTTGGACGTGACTTCAATATATAACATTACTTTAGAACATATAAAAGGAAAGGATAATTCTTTAACAGATCAACTTAGCAGGCTTATAAAAACTAACTTTTCTCTTTCAGCATGAATACAGGAAAATACAAAGAAAGAGCTTCCAGCTCAAGCAGTGCTACAACTCAGTAAGACAAAGACTTATATCTACAAACTATGCTAAAAAATACTTTGTTCAAACCATAAACACAACTTGAAGAAGCTAGACTAAAGGTGATTTAAATAAAATTATAAATAAATGCTGGGATATGTTGCGTTTGTAAAATCCTACTCAGTACTCCCTCTTCCTTCTCCGTTATCTAGTTTAGTAGTTTTTTGTTACTAAATCTATGTAATTTCTCCCAAATTTACTTTTTTTTTAAATGTTGTTCATTTCTCCTTATTTTATTTTGTTCATCTCTTTTCCTTAACTCATGTTCTTAGCACATGCTTCTTTAACTACACCCTGGAATACACTGCCCTTTTGGTTCTCTGACCATGGCGGACTTTCAACTTCCCTAGGACTTTACAGGTTAATCCATCAAGGTTACTAAGAAGGTAAGGAACTAACAATTTACTAAGAAAAATTTAAACAGTATATGAACAACATAGTATTAAACATCATATTATACAGTCATAATAACAGTACATATATTATATAGTCATAATAATACATACTATAGGGAGAACTTACTAAGATCTAGAAAACTGATAACTACTTGCATGATAATAGTCGGAATGAGGTTTTCCTTTCGGAAGTCCCCGGGTGACCTAACAGCTACTTGAAGAAAATAAATACTCACACTCTTTTTATACAAACACTCACACTTTTTTTTATTGAAAGGGAGGGGAAATATGTAAGGCTAAAGCTCTTCAAAACTATTATGCTTATGCTTGTTTCTTCTTTCTTTGCTCTCTCCGCTCTGTCTCTCTTCATAGCAAATGGTCTCTTATTTAGCTGAGGAGCCGGATTTGAAATTCGGATTTCAAATTTTGAATAAGCTTTCTTCACCTGCTGGGTGCTCTTTGGGCCCCATTGTCACATGGCTTTTGAAAACTTTTTTCAAAATAATTGTCCTCCTTTGAGTAGTGAAGTCTTTTTTATTATCTTCTTTTAAGAGTAGTGGCTTGTGATGTCATTGCTTACGTATCCTTTTTTGTCGATAGAAACTCTAGAAAACCTGAAATTTCAACATAATAAATCATTAGAAAAAATAGAACATTACTCTGTTACCAAAAAAAAAGTAATTTTGGGAGAAATTACATAGATTTAGTAATAAAAAACTATTAAACTAGATAACGGAGTAGGAAGAGGGAGTACTGAGTAGGATTTTACAACCTAATTTACCAATGCAGCATATCCCAACCTTTATTTATAATTTTATTTAAATCATCTTTATTTTGGTATCAAAGCATAAGTTACAATCATGTATAAGACCAACAACATACTTATCCAACTGTTTAAATATATGCCAACAAGAATATATAAAAGAAGGCCTCGACCTTACGAAAAACAGATAATAATATATCAGGAATACTATTGGTATCTTTTATGCATAAAAGAAAATTATTTGAATATATACGATTTTTTAATAGAACAAAGACAACTATATCTAGAACAACGAGAACTTTATTCAGACTTACTCTCGGATCAAGAAATAAACTCAATAAACCAAGAAATTAAACAGATAGATTTACAACTACCCACAATAGGAGCTAGAATTAACCATGATATCCAACAAATTAGACTAGAACGATACAATAGAAAAAGTAAAACCTTGTACTTAGCATAAAATAATACAATATGAAGTATAAAGAAGTTAGAATATTTAGATTTAGAAGTTATCTCAAAAAAGAAATATCGGAGACTAAAATTTGAATCAGTAATTAAGTGTAACTTTACAGAAGGAGACCATATTTTACATAGTGATCACCATCACTTAAATGCCATTACAAATTTAGTAATAAATTTAGCAGAATACATCCAGGTGAAAGACGATAAAATACTAAAGTCGATAGAAACTCTAGAAAACCTACAATTTCAAAATAATAAATCATTAGAAAAAATATAATGTATCTTTGATTTTCTAAAAGCACAACAATTAGATATAAATACAAAATTACAATTACTATCAGC